GAAGAGCATGACTGCAATGTATACAGATTGCTATAGTGCTGTGCAATCAGGGAAAGTAAACTGAAACGTGAAAAGCTTGAGTTGCGTAAAACGAAGCTGGTTTTTCACGGGACACGTTTCTAAGTCAAAACAGGGGGCTGACCAGACAGATCCAAAGAAAGTCAGAGCCATAAAAGAGAATGCCTACCCCGACAGCCTGTGTGAAGGCTATGAGCAGGCTGACACGGCGAGAGGGTGAACTATCTCAGGCGTTTTTTTTACTCGGAACTAAGCTGAAGTCAATGATCCTATGCGGAAACTGACACATACAGGCGAAAGTTGGCAGTGGACCGTAGAGCAAGAGAAAGCTTTCCAAAAGGTTAAACAGCTGATCACAAGCGTCCGCGTCCTAGCGTACCGTGATCCAATACTTTCCTTGATATCCAGTGTGACAGTAGCCGGTTCGGCATCGGTGCCGTGCCAATGCAAAACGGAAAGCCCATTGATTTCCGCAGCCGAACGCTAACGGAGTCCGAACGTCGTTATAGTCAAATCGAAAAGGAAAGTATCGCGCTGATGTATGCTGTGAAGCGTGTTACTGAATAGACATTCGGCCGCCGAACTGCCTAGCGAATTTACTGACCACAAACTGTTGGTATCCACAGCCAACAAAACACTTCACGCCGTTCCGCGTCGCTTACGGCAGACGATCATTAGTCTCCAGAAGTACTACCCGCAAATCGTCTATCAACCAGAATCAAAGATTCCATTAGAGCTACGCTATCAAGAGCACATCTTCTGGATGTGATTGTAACGCAAGAAGACCAAGACCTTGTTCATGCTACGCAGGTGGTTTCTGTCACAGAGGAGCATTTCCAGCAACTACTAGGCCACACGGGAGCAGAAAAACATCGGCAGTCCTTCTCCACAAACACGTGCAGCGAGCAGTCTCTTAACTGACATACACGGCAGCATGTAACCATCATTTCGTTTGATATACACCTACGTTTTCCTGAGAGACTGAGCGACACTGTCAGCCTTTCATGTTACACCGTCACGGTCACTGTTAAACAAATTAGACAGCGTGCACCCCACTTGGTTCCTGCAATTGCTATCAAGACTGTGACGGGAGTAGTCTGTCAACGACAGCTTTTCCGGACTCATTTATGCAGAAGTAGCATCTCATATTTTCACCGTCTAATTGTTACTAATTCTTATTTTGCTAAGGTGGTTTATGTGAAGGTAACATTCAGTCTACAACAGCGTTGTCACTAACCCTTTTATCATTTGCTGGGCTAACATCAAGCAACTGTCGAAGCGCCACTAACATTTGAACACGGTAGCCAGTGCATTATGCACTGCTGTCGAGATGTTGCAAACCACCAGCCAAAAAGAGCGGCAGCAACCCAATCTGAACTGACCGGTGTCAAATCGCCGGGGGTAATTAACATATTTCAAGGACACATGCACCGATATGCGTCCTCACGTCTTATTCACACCCCCATACATGCATGGGTGAGTAAATACAGTAGACTTACATGCCATTGGTGGGTCGGCAAATTAGTGCGCTCCAATCTCACCCTGACCTGCGCGGCTGATGTACGGCGACGGAGCAAAATCGAAAGAAAGAAAGAAAGAAGAAAGGTGTCAGCTTATACGCCGTAACGGCGCTTCGCTGCCGCGCGACCACCACTAGTCGCGCGCGGGCTGAGTATACCGCGAGGACGCCCACCCCTACGCGGAGTCGAACCGGTGACCTTATGGTTGCAAAGCAAACATGCAGACCACTCGGCCACCGGTCGAAAGACTCTTATCAAACGTACGGTAGTTGTCCTTTCCCAACATGGAAAGTTTAGCATGGCCTTTAACGCTTATGTCACGGAAAACCACGCGCCCCTCTTACTAAACCTCTCCTCTGGAACTAGTTCTTTCAACAGGTAGGTTTCATCTTGTCACTGTTGCGTGTGTTCTGAGAACTCTCAATTCATTGTGTTAACTTGGTCCTACGTGAAGTTGCTTTTGTCCGCCTTGAGTTATAGTTCACCGGTCGTATCCAGCTTCATCTGCCGGATGTCTGCTGCACCATTCTGGCCTGACGCCATATCTGGACAGTGTTCCAAAGCGGCTTCGTTTAGCTCGGCAGTTACCAAGCCATTCCTTGATTCTGTACACCAAATCCAGACAGTCGCAGCATTTGCAAGTCCACAACTGTGACATGTGTCGGCGATTCAAATCGACAACTCACTGAACTGTCCCTTACATTTTTAGAACTCTCTGTATCCTCTCATGAATTCACTCATTTCCTTTTATAGGTCATCAGCGTCAAGATATATTGTTTCCAGCATGCTCAGCATCAGTATTTTACGTGAACATTGCTAATCGATAGACTATCGCCTAGGTGACCTGATAACTCAGTATCGCAAAATCCATCCCCCTCATTATCCCGTTGTCACGGCATCTCCATCTCCAGCGACGTAAGCGCTGCAGTCGTTGAGTAAATACTTGACTGTGGAAACTTGCTAGTCAACTTCGGGTATCAGTTCTCACTCTAGGCCATTATTAATATCTGATCGTTGTAGATCAACTACCCATTTGTCCTCTTCCATCGTATTCACAGATTCAGCGCATTTGTTTAATGATTCCTAACTCTCCGCTCCGAGTTATCAGTTTGCTTTCTTTGACCCACGTTCCCTATAATGAGGGCCGAAAATTACATTCGGTGATAAATTTAATAGCCAAACGGTTGGGCCACGAAGTCATTATTATTCACTGTGTGAATGAGTTAAGTGTAGTTTTCGCTTTTCTTCGTGATTACTAACCCGATGATGTTAGCTCCCTTTTTCGACTTTCCTCTCTATTCTTGTATGCAGCCTCGCACAATTAACTGTCAGTTTCATTCCACATGCGTCTCTGTTTGGTTATTGGCCCATCACTTTTTCGACTAAAAAACTCTTCATCTCATTTAAGTATTCATGGAAGTTTACTAACCGTTGATCGACGTAAACATGCATTTATCTCTTTGAAAACAATCATAATTCTCAGAGATTGCTGTTTTCCTAATGGTCACATCTGCGTGAACCAAATATTCTGGAGTATTGCAGGCGCTGAACCCTCAACTTTTACGCTTGAATCCAATCTGATCTCTACTAGATTTCACTCAACGGTTCATGCATCTGCTTCCTGGCTGTTTCCGACACTTGGATGCTGCCTACGCGTTGGAGTTGTTGCAGCATAAGATGACACGACATGTATTCAGCGAAGGTGAGACACCTATTCAATTTTTGGACTCTGATGTGGCACAGTGCTGGTTATTCCTTTCCATTTGTACGCTAGCTGGTTTTCCTTATGAACAACTTATTTGGATCGGTTAGAACCTCACAATGACATATTTTCACGCATCCAACATCAGGCAGCGTTTTGCCACTCTCCTCCTCATCACACTGGTTCGCCTCACTCACCCTGCTCAAAAGCGCTCAAGCGCAACCCGTGTATTAGTTTGTCCACCGTTACCTCACTTCCATCGATCTGGCTTCGCTTGCTGCGAATGTTGGCAAGGTACTCGTTTGTCATAAATCACCACCTCGATTGATGTATACGGATAGCATGCACGTTTTCTCAATTCCACATAAATTATATGCATGTTGAAAAAGCGTGGGCCGGCTCCGTGGAAGAAACGTGACTCCCACCCACATGCCTCCTAGTCTTATTGCTCTGGCTTTACACTGAATGTAAGGTATGCGGATGGAGCTGTGGGTGGTGTAGCGCAAGCCACATATGGTCCCCCAGTAGACGCAGATGTCCTGTGACTGTCCGCAGTCGCAGTGATATACAAATCTGGAAACGGATGTCACCAGCAATACGCAACAGTACCGTCAGACTAATTGCCTCCCGAGAGATAGCTACATCACTACGTAGTTTGCAAATCACCTCGTCACATTTTACTGCTTTTTTAATAACTTTCGCCCTAATTTTTCTTACGCAATTTGGTGGACTTTTCTGGCATCTAGGCCCAGTTTGGAGCTGAAAGCCTCCATTCAGCAGACCTGTTCGAGGGTTTCAGGAATATCAATCCACATCTTGATTAGACTTTCTACTGCGAGTAGGTGGTGCGTGCTGATGGCTGCTTCTACGATTTATCTTATGTTTTCTGTAACACGGTTTTGATCGTGGGGCTTCCCTCTTTTCATAGGATGACTCGAAGAACTCACCGCATTGTTTGTCTTACATTTAATGTGTCCATATTCTCGCTTGTATTCGCCTGCTCTTTTCATATTTGCCTTAGAGTTGACTGCATCTGAACTACGAACCTTGTTCACCCCAATTGATTTGGATCGACTTCACAACTACGTTCGCTCCATAGTGGACTTTCAGGTTGTCAGCGATCTACTTCCTCGTTTGGCCGGTTTGTACTTTGACAAGCGTTTGCCAAGTGTACGAATAAACAAGACACAACAGGTTCGTGGTATATCCCGGTTCGGTGCATTGAATTACTCTGTTCTTGTGTTCATTCCTTGGTTTGTGGATCGTCCGCATCCCATTAATTTTCCTGCTGTATTTTCTGTTTGTGTTGTCTTTTTGTCCAACAAAGTCTCCATCGATTCATAAAACTGCTTAAAATATTTCCTTTCAGAAGGGTTTGAAACCAATCGGTTGATATATTGGATGAGCAACGTTACGCTTTTGACACTGGCTTCATCGAGATATGGAATGCTTGGAATTTGAAAATCCTTCCATTACCAACCTAGGGGATATGTTAAGCTTGTGCTTTTTCTACCCGTCATAAATCATTGTTTCATTATACATTTGGGTCCCGTATTGCTTACTCTGTATTTCGACTGCAACCTGCAATCTTGGTTTGAATGCCAACGTCCTTTATTTCAGTTGTTGCGTTGTTTGCTGGAGATAGGCAATTAGTTTGCACACCTTTCGTCACCGGTCGAAGTGGCATCATCAGTGCGTATGGTTAAGCGGTTTCGTAGCAGAAGCTAGTGAAAGGCAAATCCGTTTATATACAGATCTGGCCAGCTACTTCTCCATGTAGACTTTTGGGGTCCTACAGTTTCACTTGTTCACTTGGTTAATCATTGTACCTCGCATATGTGCCTGGGCAATTTCCATAAGTTGCATATGTGTTGTTGCGACGTGGATGAAATTCTTGCACTTGGATGGCTGCCAAAGGTATAGCGACAGTATTCTGGTTCACATAGAGTATCCTGCACATTGGCTATATGTTCACTTTCGAGCTGTGGTTTTTATTCCTCCAGAGCTCTTCCTTTCTTAGTGGTTTGTGTACGGGATCACTGTCGATGCGCAAGTTGATTGAATTGTTCGTGGAGCACCAAACCCCGAGGAATTCCCCTCCATTTTGGTGTGTGGGCCAGGATCTCTTTCTTGTTCCAGTCTTCATCCATGTGTGCTGAGAATTGCGAGGTTGCATATCCTTTTCGCGTGCTCTTTTGTGTTGCTATATCTTTGTTGATAATTTTCCGTTTGTTCACTGTTCCTGCGATTCTTGTTCTTTTGGTTTTAATATTCCCAATATTTTGACTAGCTTGTGGGCCACCACCATATTGTGTTGTTTAAAAAATATGTTGTTATTTCAGATATATCCTTCGTGTACGGCATGACGTTCCGCTTCCCTTTCGTTTGCTTCGGCCTGGTGTTTGTGAGCTTGCGATTTAAACATCTACTGATGAAAGATTATGTATATCCGTTGCGTTCGAGTGTTTTTGCGGGGAGCTTCTTCACCGCTTGTTTATTTTGTTGCAAACAATTAAACGCACTGTTTTCCAAACCATCCATGCACTATCGGCGGTGTGGATCATGTTCTCAGTTTCACCGATTCGATTCACAAACAGTTGCATGAGCTCGCCAGTATTTGTCATTTCGCCCTATCGCACAATGGCTTGCTATCATTTGGCTCTTGTTGCGGGAGGCTAGTTCGACTAACATTTGCACACTGTTATCGTGCACCACCAAGACACTGCTATTCTGGTCACAGGTGAATCGGGAGGCGCTAAACCGATAACCAAGGCTCGTTACCCAAGGGTACGGGAAAAGTGTAAACAGAAGGAGCAGTCGATATCTTTTAATCTGCGAAAATAGCGCAAATGTCACCATGCAATGATGTTAATTTGTGCGACCAGATCGCTTCCTGCTGGTTTTCACTAGGTTAAGTTGCGAGAAGAGCATGTGTCATATTTTCGGTAGCGTGTGAAATGACGGAATCTGTGGTTACAGTCGCGAAGATGCGTCCCACCGATGCATATTGTTTCACCTTCCCACTCTTAGTATCTTCGGTCGAAAAGTCTTAACATTATTCGATACCTTGGCGGGATATTCCCATGACTCATCGGTCTTTTCGAGTATGATTAAGTGTGATATGTATGGGAATATTGTTTTCCTACTTAATGGTTTCAGTCGCTAATTCAGCGACTTTCTCCCAAAGTACCGTGACCGTCATCTGCTTAAGTAACCGCGCTTAGTCCAGTTAACTGAATTGAATGTGTCATGCTGCTAGGCTGACGTACCAAAGGGGATACTTTTTAGTGTGCAACCAGTTTCAGTCTCCACTACCACAAGTAGCATCATCTTTGGCTCTCAGGGTGTTCGGAAGGTAGCAAAATCTTCCACGGAAACTCACTACTTCAGTGGGTGAAGACACCGGGCAGTTTGACGGAAATCCAGATCCTTCGCGGGTCGCATGCACTTTCCTCGCTGTTGGTCGTATTGCTTCAACACTGACAGTTGATCTACCTGTTACGGAAGTCTAACGTTCCTGAGTTAAGCTATGAACATGTGTTTAGTTTTTGACTGTTTGTACCTTTTCGGTAGCTGCTCCTTCAATATGCTCTTGCGTCAAGATTGTCTTTTGCTTTTTGGCTAGAATTGGGAGCTCGCGAAAGTGATCCATTCAGCCGGAGTCGCATAGAAGATATCTAGCCTAGGCTGTGTTTCGTTCGCCTCGGGGAGTGGAGTAAATGTCTGAAAGGCGTGTCACACTCCACATACAGGTTGTTCTTGTTAAATTAGTACAAAGTATTGCAAACCTATCACAATTGCCTCTATGACAACCATGCTGCTGCTCTTAATCTTTCTGATTTAGGCCTGAACACGATAGTTCAAGTTTTTGGGTCGGGGCCATGTAATAGAGCGGTTCTTTCTGTTCAGTTCCTCAGCACAGGCTTCAATTATTACACATTTTCTCCTCAAATGTTCTTGACGCGCACAGATGAACATCACGTGGTACAGCTCACGTAACCAAGTTATTTAGACATATCTTCTTTATCTTGTCCTCTTTATCTTTGTCACCAATATAATTATGTTGTCTTTCTATATAGATCATTCTTCTTGGTTTGGGCCTCCAACACAAGAGTGTGGAACGACTTGCGTCTGAATTCGCCACTCTTCTAGGTTCTGGCTCTGATACCGCCCTCGAGAAACGGCACAGGCTCCCCGGTATTAATGTCCCTCTACTACAAACGGAAAAAGTCAAACCCATCTCAGGCGGATTGGCCTCCTTCGAAATGGGTGGGAAGCTGAATAAGCCGGGTGTCAGTAACACTACTGGCTGGGCAAAGCGAGTCAGAGGCTTATTGTTTGTGGTCGTCCGAGAACTAGTGCAATCTTTGGATGCAATTGTTGGTACGAAAACCTCCCCATGCAGTGACTCTGCTCTGGTTCTCCCACCTAATCTGGTGGCATCCTCGGTGAGCTGGTAACAGTGGCTGTTTGTTATTGTTGTGGCTCCCCTGTTCCCACATCAAGCAACAATTCATCCTCATGCTGCATCCAATCTCATAAATATTCTTTAGCTAATTATGCTTTCGTGTACGCTTCTTTTCTTTTCAGTTTTGCCTAGCCCCATGCCCTCAAGAGAGCCGGGAAAATTGCAACTTGTGAATCACTGATGAATTAATGTGTTCACTTCAAATATGCTGGCTTAGATCTTGACTGGCAGCGTTAATATCGATCTACGCTGGATCATTGCACTGATTACAGTTGCTTATGCTAATTTATAGATACATTTTTAATTACACTCAGATTTTCTTTGATATTCCACTATTCTACGTAAAATAAATACTCTGACAATCAAATTGATTTCCCCATTGCGGAGAGGAAATCGTAACTGAAGTATCTGGGCGGAAGTGAAAAATACATCTATATGATCATCCAACTAACTCGTATTCATTCCATCAATGGGTTCCCCAAGACCCTGTACTGGTGCCCATTTTGTTCCTGACCCACATCGATGAAGTACTTCAGCTTCTTCGGCCACCATGTTCCTTGTTTTCAGACGACCTGAAGATTTGGAGAGTAACTGATACTACCGACGACTGCTACGTACTTGAGCATGACAACAGTTCGCAGATGTCGATCTACTGGTCAGCCCAGTCAAGTTTAAGGGTCTTGGCAAGGATGGTGATGGGCGTACGTACACTCTGTCCGGCCAACGTCTGCATCCCACACTTTCCGTGAACGAACGCTGCGATTTCCAGTCCGTGAACGGCACGAACATTCACACCGAGGCGGTCTGCGCATACTTTGGCCGCTCAAAAGCAGCTCTTGCATTTGGTCTGAATATATTGTCACGCTCCTATTCTCTTCCATCATAAGACCGATGTTCGAATACGGATCACTCGACTAGTATCCGGTCACCCGTTTCGACTTGCAAACCTGGAAGGCGTTCACGATGTGGCTACCAGGCTCATCCTCAGTTTACGGGGTATATCGTGCGAAGACCGATGCAGGATATGGGGGCTGTTCACCCTGTCCTATTGTCGATTTCGAGTGGACCACATAATGACTCACTGGATGTTACATCTAAGTGACTTTCCAATGCTGAGGCCGCTGTTTCATGTGCGCACCTCAAGTAGCACCCGCAGGCGCCGGTACAAGCTAGTGGTATCAGGCCTGAAGCAGATAGCTCACTCTCCATGCTTCTCTCCTCGAATGGTGAAATAGTAGAACAGTTTGCCTCAGATAATAATCGAGGTGAAATCGGTGTCAGGACTCGAGAAGTTCCTGGACGCCCAGTTTCAGATTTCGGGAGTGCATCGCGCCTGAATAGGACGTCGCGCAGCCGAACTGCGTTGAAAGTGCGTGCCGGTTAGTATATCCATGAAGCAGCACAGATATACATCTTCATTTTTCAGTGTTCAGAATAACATAGTCCTGGCTTCCCATATACCTATCGGTCTTCGACTTTAAGAGAATTCGCGCATGTTTGCTGTACGTTATGACGTTATTGTTACTATTTGTTATTTTGTCGTTCGTTACTATACTGTGGGCCACTTTGGACTTTTATTTGCGTTTCTTGATGCCCGTCTCTCCATACTGGGTGCTTAACTGTCTAACCTGATTACATTCATACTAAGAATGTGTCGAGGGGACATGAGCGAAAATCATCGACAACCACGAGCTGTTGCTAACCTGGTATTCTGGATACACAGTCCAGTATGCTCGTCATCTTCTCCCTCGGCTTGAATCCCACGTGCAGCCCCAATGTTACATATCTCAAGCAGCCCATCTATGTAATTTTAGATTCCGTTTGTTTTAACTAAGATTACTTCGACCCTGCCGCGCACAGGCATGTCTCATTATGCCGCCTCGCGTCAAATCTGTCACCATTATAAGTCCGGCATCATCAGTTACAGCATACTGTGCTGTTTCGTATTACCTTGAGCTTATTAACGAAATGCACGCGTGCCAATTGCATTTGGTCACCACTCGTTACTTGTTTCATTATTGTCTTTTCCATACTAGGTCCGTGGTAATGTCACGCTCAGTTTGGATCGGCCAGATAACTCTTCGGAGAACTCGTCCGACTCGGATACCTCTGAAATCGATAAACCTGTGAAAGGATCAGCGGTGGATGTTGAAAACGCGGAGTCTACTATTTTGGATGGAACTGTGCTCCCCGAATCGGAGCTCCAACGGCGAGCTGATGTTGTGCGCCAACTTCTTTCCGAGGAGATAAGCAGCGGAGGTGGTCCGCTTGGATCACTGAATCACTATAAAGTTCGTGGATCGGAATCTGATTGGGCCAAGGCCATTGTGGGCCATGGCTCCGCCCTAGAATCGCTTAATGTCGTTGTACCCAAATCCAAGAAGCCTGATGGAAAAAAGTGAGTAGCCCCGATTTTTGTATGGTATGCCCAACGAAACGGTTTGATTTAAATCTGAACAGTCATCTTCGTGTGTTTGCTTGGCGTTACCTCTTAATTTTAGAGCACCATTATCATGTCACCAGATCTACTGCGTTTTGCCCTTTTGCCTTACTGAGATGCCTCTTACATTCCATTTGCCCCATCATCATTAGCCCTTCCTTCGATTTATTGCTAACCTAGTGAACTTCGGTAAATTTGCTCTGCCACTGGAAGTGTGCGATCTCCTTGGAACTTAACTAGCGTGCCCAGTAGTCCCTTTGGCTCATCTTGGCGCATTTCGACTACATTAACATTGTACTATTATCCCTTCATAGTTTGGGGTTTCATGCTTTTTTATGGAACGTCTTGTCCTACCATACACTTGAGTACTGTTCGCAGTTGAGCATTCGTCGCACGTCCCATTCCACCTCGTTGTCGTAAGATTCTGTTTGAAAGATTCATCAAGAAAACTGGTGGAATTCCTTAATTTCCTGAACACATCTCAGCATAGTTTCCTCGATAGAGGTACCTACACGACTTGCCAGCTCCACTACCTTAATTACACTTCAGAATCCATAGGCCCCAGTTTCTGCCACCATAATATTACTTTTAGACCTAGAAGAAGCATTTGACCGTGTATCACACAAACGGTTATTGAAAAGGATGAATATTTTGGAATTTCAAACTCGCTTTTAAGCAATCGGTTTCAGCTAGTCACCTTGGGTGACGACCACTTTTCAACGCTCAATTAGCAATGGCGTCATACAAGCAACTGTACTTGGTCCTTTGCTTTTTCCCTTCGACATCAATGATATTGGTATGTCCGCCAAAATGACGGACTCTTTCTACTTGCTGATGATACCAAGATTGTCTGTAAACTTCGGCGTGATGCGATTCAGAGCACACTGCGTTTAATTCAACATGACCTTATCTCTCTTGAGGATTGGCCCGAAACGTGGCTGATAACACCACCGACTAACAAATCAAGCATTACGTCATGTGGTTACTCGATCTCCGAAGGGTCAGTTAAACTTAACAACAACGGTGCTCTCGGAATCAGGTATTCCTTCGACTTCGCTTTTCTGAAATAACCCAAGACCAAATAGCTCACGCCAGACAGTTCGTGGCTATGCCACAAAATGCATACAATCCCTGCCAAACTGATGTTATTTAAAATTCTCACTCGTCCTCTTCTCGACTGTAACTTCATCTGTGGCGGGGTGCGGAAGAAGCAGCGAGTAGGTTAGTTAAATAGGCAAGTTTCAGCGCTTGGTAAGCGCTGATTCCGATTACACGTGCTAATTTTGGCAGATGTGACACATGTGCTGCATTGTCGCTACAGTTGGTCTGTACTTGTGCCTGTGGGTGCACGTGGTCGCACTTTCGATGGCATTTGCCGGTTGATATCCTAGTTATAGGTGATGTTGATGTGAAGGTTGACAAGATGCCTGCCTGCGGAACACTGCTACCTAGATTACCGGCTCTGGGAGACTACCAATTGTTGGTGGGGAAGACTGGGTGCACAGTCTTCGTGACGGTGCTAGACTCAAAGAGTGGTTCCATGCATCCAGCGTGGAATGGCCTACATCTGGTATGCATGTTTCCCCTGTTCAAATGAATACCGTGCTAGAGGAATGTTGACCGGCTCCGGATCAATCGTGCCTCCCAATCTCTTATTCCTCTGGGTTTGCACTAGATATGAGGTGTGTGGGTGGAGCTGTGAGTGGTGCAGCGCAAACCACCCATAGTCCCTTACTAGGCGCAGTCGTCCGGTGGCTGTTCGCGGTCACAGAGACAGACAAATCAAATAATGGGTATCGCAAACCATATATATGACGACCAATCATCATTGTCGTTCCATTTCTCTGTCTGGAAACTAAGCAGGTTTAAATTGCGTCGGTGATTGCCATATGATCTTTCAAGGCCACATCTGCGTAACGCGGCGAGGACCTATCTGTTTAGCGATCAAGAGTGGGGCTTATAACATCGTAATGCAGCCGATGCCTTTGTTTAGATCGAAGGTACGACTGTTGTGCATGGGATTTAACAGAGGACGCACCTACCTTAACCGACATTTCTTACAGAGTATCGCCCATTTTTGGTGGGAATACCCAGTGATTAATGATGAAGTATGTTATTTGTCAACAACTTCAGACACGGCAAGTAACCAGCCTACATCAGATTAGCTATGTGCTTCGCAATTCTGCTGACCATTTGCTTACGCATGCTGTCTAACAGCGCTCCATTTAATTGATTAATGGCCCTAGATCGCTGTGCAATGACAAAACACTAGGACATCGCACGATTGTGTGAAATTTGGTTGGCTTAATGTATGCAACTCTGATAGACTGGGGTTCCAGAGTCTGCTATCTGTAAGGATGCAGTCCCTCCGCCCACTGTACTTCTGCGTCCTGTATTTTACATAGGTATTTTAGTTTTCTTTCTGTATCATTTTCGCATTTCCTCTTACTTGTCCTATTATTTTATGTAAAGCCACGACGAGAGTCTTCAAAACTGAATCCTGCACACCGCGGTGCTTGGACCATTGTTGAACAACGGAAGTGCACTCGAGTAGCGCCTAATCGTCGCTTCTCCTTCTGCCATCAACACTTTTCTGTCATTTGAATCTGCAACTTTCATCGTTATAACCAAGTTACTTCAACTGCATCGTAGTGTCTTTCCATTCATATGGAATTGTATTGACCACTATCACTGGTCACCAGTGTCACTCCCGAAAATGTGCTAACGGCGGACGATGGGGATTTGTTCCAAATCGCGAGTCTTGCAACTCAGTAATCACCGCACGTATGAAATGTTTGCAATCACTTTTTCAGCCTTCGCTTTCTCTACTTCGTTTCTTTCCTTTCACTAGGAAAAATCGTTTATCTCTTGAGGAGGAGTTACCACGCAAGAGAAAGAATATTGTGAAGCTCAAGAAGGCAAAAGGCACACCTCGTTGATAGTATTTTAATGAAACAACTGGCATGTAAATAAATCGATCTTTTTCTTGTTTTGTTGCTCTGCCTTCATCAATCGGTTTGTGGATTTTTTATCGATATTTTACCACCTTTGTTTATTCATATTCCTTCGGGCGTCGAATTCCTCATTTGGCATTTGGTGTGATGAAGGGGATTTTTGGCTCTCAGGTTCAGTATTAAGACGCGTTTAACTATTAACATTTGAATTGATGTAGTACCGCCCGACGGGGCATTGAAAACATAGTTAAACTAGGCATTCGTTGAAAATGCAGTTAGCTCGGTACTTTCTGATCTGACTTAGTGCTAGCTATTAAGACGCATTTCGGCTCCATCACTCCTCCGATGAGGCACAATGGAGAAACCTGGACTCCATAGAGGGCATTGAATCGTTTCACGAACACTAGGCGTTGACACGCCGAATTACCGGAAAATGAACTACACTATGTAGGACAATCCCAATGCGGCTAATTACTGTTATCTTTAGACTCAGGAGCAAGGGCAATACCTCATGGAGTCTGATAAGTGACATGGAAATTAGTTCTATTAGTCACGCACCTCGTTGGAGGACCTTAAGCAGAGTGGGATACACATGGTTTGAAGACATTCCCTACGAGGTAAACCCTCCTTGTAACTGATGAAGGTCGCGCTGAATTGCTCCAGATATCCACGTCACTTCATCGGTGAACACTGATGATAGTACGCGCTTTTCCGTTAGGTCACTTACGGAAATGGCCAACCACAGTCAAAGAACTGAAATTTGCAGAACACTTCCAGGGACACGTAAAAAGCTGCCTTCAGCGAACACACTTTTATTCATGTCCAGAAATACAGTCATATTGAAGAAACGACCAGATGTTTCTCATTTAATGGTCAACATCATAGCAATTCGTAATGTCAACGAGCTACATATTCAATTTTTAGCCCCTGTCTACTACTTTAGCATCGTCAGTATTTTTGCTGCTGTTTTACTAGCGCGTGATCAGGTATAATGAGATAACAGGAATAAAAAAGTGGAAAGGAGTGCATCTAATAGTGTTCCGAGTAGGTAACACCGCTCATTCACAAGTAGAGAGTTGTCGTGTGAGAGCAAGGAGGCACTGACTAGGTATCTCTATGCGGTTTTTGTAGTCCTGCGCCATATTCGGCCTCAGTTTAAATAAGTACTCCGACTGGGACACGATAGAAAACGCGAGCAACATCTTGTGAAGTCTCAGCCTAAGTACAGAGTGGATCGCATAGATCTTAGTCTGGCAGATGAGTAGAATGAACACCCGGATTTATCGCCATAGTCTTCAGTCGCCGCTGCCGTCTCAGCCATTGAGTCTCTCGAACATGTACCATACTAGATCCGATAAACAACAACTTGGGCAAATGGTTGGCAAACGAACGTAGCACGCACCTGAAGCAGTGCAACATGTTCAGCCTTACTTGTTGATCGTAAGGAATTATCTGACCATCAGCGCCTTGCACATAACATAGTTGTGAGCAAGTTGGTAATACACGACACAAGCAGTGCTCTGCAGTTTATGGTCACCAGAGATTAGCCAGAAGTGAGAAACATCTCATTGGTTGTGCTTCAGTACAACTGGATTAGGTGGTCATGAAAGAGTAGGCGCTCAAGCGAATGGGTGGTGATGCGATCGAGTCGCAGACGTGTTATCTCAACCTGGGGAGTGCAGCTAGGTATGAAATCGCTCGTGAAGTGCGATTTAGCCAGTATTGTAGTTTGGTGTTAATATGCATCACAAATGAAAGGGGAAGCTAAGCAAATGGAGACGAAACAAAGAAACAAATTCCGCCGGTATCGAGTCTTGGTCGTGACAACAAGGCAATCGACTTTGAACGAACCTACGTGCTAATCGCTCATCCGTGAACAAGTTTTTTCGCTATTTCTCAGCTGCATTTTGTCACACAAACATGTTCCCACTCACTCGACCTAGCTTCATCAGCGTTTTCTAGTGCACTTTTATCTTCACATCGCGGCTTTCGCACCGTTCATGCAATCGAGGAGTTTTCCGAATCACGAACCACACACCAATACTTTGGTCTCAAACGAAAGCCAACTTCGCGTTTTATGCGACGAGCTATCAACTTCCGTACATCAATGTAGCGATCCTACACTTTGCGTCGGTATCCCTCAGTCTCTGCTTACTGCGTGAACGATCCAGCCACTTAAAACTGCCTCTCTAGCGCCAGACGCACAGAACGTGAGAACCTTGAACATGCAGACAATTCAGCGCACAAACGACTCGCAGAGAACCATTGGCGCTCGGGCGTTGTTCGGAATAGCTTCGGTCGACGCAGCGGATTGTGGCGACCATTCAAAAGCCCATGTTACCACAGCCAGATCGATGATAGTTTATGGTTTTCTTTCATGCTCAGTAGCTTAAGCTGCTGGCTATTTGGCATCTGCCTCTAGCTGTCATGGGTTCGATCCCCAGTAGGGACGGAGGGGATGCGCACCACTGATAATAATAATAACAATAATAATAATAGGTATATTTCTCAGAAAGGTGAGACACGTTCCAGAGACCCTGGACCGATCATTATGTACAAGTTTTCTCTAAAACTGAAATTGTTTATCGGATGCGAGGAGATTCGTATTGAGTGGGATTGGATTCAAGTTGTAATTTGTTTTTATGCAGATCCAACTTTCTTCGGTAGCAAGTATTTCATCGTACCGTTGAACGAGTTGTGGTCCGGATCAACGTAAATAGAAAGGAAATAGCAAGTATTACTGCGATGGAGGCCGAAAACTTCCTAGGGAATTATGTACATGTGTGGAATCGAGAATAATATAGTGTGGGGAGGGTCTCGCAACCAAATTTCTGGACTCAGCATAAGGAATAGCAGTATGGGTCTGGCTAACAGGGAAAAATAAGTCCACATTACTGCACAGTGAAATAGGGAAATATTTAAGCAACTGCCTTATTATTGTATTGCAGATGTTGTTTACAATTAGGGGGCGCAATACGGATTTCGGATTACTTAAGATGTGTGGGTTGTGGGCTGTGAACAAGAATGCCGAACCTTTAGTAGTTTGGCTAACTGCGCTAGGAGTTTGATTATGCAGGGAATTGGTCCAACATGACGCCAGTGATATGTTTACGAGGTTACAGTAGTCCTGAGTGGCAAACATATCGATGTTGACAATGTGTCGGTTGATTCACCAGCAAGATATGGTCAAGTGAAAACCGAAGCTAAGTGTTGGGGAGCAAGGTGGGTTGAAGATGTAAAGAAAGGATCCGGGTGCTTTACCTACCAAAGCGTCAGTGCTTTCACAAACGAATGGGAGGTGTGCCAGCGGGTGAAACGGAAGTGAAGTTACGATTGGAGAGATAGTTAACCGGATTTGGGAGTCCAGCTAACCAAGTTGCCAGTGATTCAACTGACACATGGTTGCCGTGGAGCCACGTAAAATCAAGGGGAAGTATAGTGAGCTATGTAGCTTGTGAACTATTTGAATGAATACCTTACAAATAGTAACCAGATTCACTGTGATCCTATTTATTATGTATAGTCATCCCACTGGTAAAGATTGTACATGAACTATCACATAAATACAGAAGACTGGTGGCAATGGTTGAACAAATGACGAAAACTAAAGACAATTCATCTGAAGAAAGCCGGACAGAGTAAATCCCAGTCGTTCTCATCAGGCTCCGCATTAAAACTGAGGAGAAAGATAGATCAGCGCACTACAAATGCGTCATCTGTGGCTTTAAACGTCAATACCAACAGTTGCTCAAATACGCTTGAAACATGCACCGCCAGTGCGATTGGAACGAGCATAGTTAGGGTCTCGTCCACCCGAAGGACTTCGACACTAGTAATGGTCGGAATTTAGCTGCTGCCAAATGTGACTGAAAATCTAGACTTTCGGCCACTCCCACTGGGCCCAAATTAAGTGGATGCAGGTGCACCAACACAGCCTTCATCAGGTGTATGCAACCTAGCTGGTCGGTTGACCTCAACCCGAGTTGCACGTAGTAGACCAGCGGTAATATGCACCAACGTTCCAGAATCGACGTCAAATTCCTTAAAAGGAAAACAACTCGATAACGTGAACCAGTGGAACTCCATGTGTCACTATAGGTGTGGTAGCTAAGCCTGTCAATTTGACATGCGTTGCCCATCACCCAAACACACAGCACTACGGTGAACATGTGTGTCTCACGCCGCGTGGTCGTAGTGAATCGACGCTCCCGTTTTTGGAGCTACCACTCACAATTCTCGGTGCAACTTACTGTGCTTACACTCCAGCTCGGATTTACCAGCGCTATCCAGTGGACCTACCACTACAGGATTGTCTAGCATATACCATTGTTGCATCCATTAATGCAATTTCAATGGGATTTTCACAGCTATCCAGGCTCGTATCAATCTTATTTTCCAGTGCACACCATAATTTGTAACCTCTTTCCTTAGAGTGCTCTTAGCGCTATCCAGCGATTCATTTACCACAAGAATCGGACACTCCGTTTGATAGCTGCAGCACATTTATCAACTATCATCTTAACACTCGTCAAACTAAGATAAATTCTACCGTGCCCATCTGAGCTGTTGACCAGCCTAAGCCCGGCCTGATCTATATCTAGTCGGCCACATCCCACCCCAAAAAGTTCGCACACCGACCTCAGCCGGCTTTGTTCACAACTGTGGTCGCACTTGTAGATTATTGTCAACTGACATTGTGTGCCTGTCACAACACGCTCGAAGATCGCAAGTTGCTCACGTCACTGAGGCCTCGTCAATGCCTCTCAAGACAGCAACAAGGAAAGCCATGTATACACTGTCCACTCAGCCGCAGACAAAAGTTCTTTGCCATTCGAAACCGTGCTCCAAGACTATTCGAATTGCAGTAAAATGTAGTGGCTGCAGTAAAAATACCATCCCTGGTGCGTAAATTTAAGGGTAGAGAAAGGGAAAGCACTACAGTGCATACCAGCCTCCACTTGGTTCTGCACAGACTGTATGGTTAACCCACTCGTAAGGTGCATCACCGTACTGGCTCAGAAATGTGACAACCTGT